TTTGCAATGTCTTTCCCAATACTTTCCTTTGCATGACAGCAGATTCCTTTCCTGGCTATGCAGGTTGTCCTACCCACCTATTCCCTGCACTGGAAAGGAGAAGGTGGGTAGGACAATCTGCAAAACTTCTAGAAAGTTCTCTGCGGATGCGAACTATTACTTATTCAATAGTGTTTAGTCTTTCGATTTCTGTCAGAGTCTCATCAAATTCACCCAACGAGCCCTTCTATGCCGGGAGTCAAAGCTCTGGGTAGCCCCGAATCTCTTCCAGCCCTTCATACTTGTGGAAGCTTTGCTTGAGTATAATGTGACGTGAGCTCAATGGAACTTCGTTTTTCGGTAACTACTCTACTACTTCAGCCTCTTACGTTTTCGCCCCTCTGGACCGTATTTGAAGAAGTTCTACCGTTATTACGGTCCTCATTGTGCATAGTAGACTATTGTTAGAGGTATAGCTTCCTGTTTGCACAGTCGTCAAATCGATTCCATTCAAATGGCTCTCACAGCCTTCAATCTATCATTTCACAATCATCAGAAGTATTTTACCGTACTCAATCTGAAAAAAACTTAACCTAAAAGTTAAACTCCAGGTTTTAGGTAGATGTAGGAGCCCCAGAGCTGACAAATCCTTGGTCTGCCTCGAAGTAGGAGAGTATAGCTGAGAACGGACCAACAAAAGTGGTAAGTGAGCTGATCACTGAGCTTTTTGTTTGCACAAGTACTTACATTGTAATTAGCCACCACTTTAATGCTCGATTTTTCTTCCTACTTACTTTTGATGATTTTGCCTTACCTTACCTTATCTGAAGCAACAAATCTTGTTGAACCTGTCTAATTTTCTTTGGGTTCTCTGGGATCCTGACTATAGGCACTTGAAATTTTTTCGGGAAAGATATTTAAGCAACGAGCGCTGTACTGGCTTAGCCAAAAAATAGAAAGAGTTAGTCAGCAGTCATTTTTCACTTTTTCTTTCCTCGGAGATTATTTCAGCATACTTTTCTGATTCCATTCAAAGAATCGGAGAGGAAGAATGCCTCTGGAAGGGCCCAATCGAAAATGCATTTAACGGGAACGAATTAAGTTCTGTACAGGGCCATGCAAATGTGGGCTGGTTTTCTTGAAGCGAACAGTACCATGCCCTCAAGCTCAATTTTCAATAAGCCTTTCAATATTTCTTTGGATTCTGTGTCACTATAAAATCAAAATAGTCGCTACTCTATTGAAGCAGAGAGTAGAATTTGATAGTGACTAATTCAGGCCGTCTTTAAGCTTGTGTCGAGGAAGAGAAAGATTTCTGCCTTTACGTGAAAAATGCATTGACATTGATTCCTAACCTATCACATAGCTCAAAGCGGACTCGAAATCCTCTCGCACAGATGGTGTGGGAAGTTTATTCAGCTGGTAATATGAATTCAAATAAAATTCAGTAGAAGTCTGGTCACATTTTGCTTCCCCTGTATTGGTATCATCGATAATTTTCATAAATGCCATTTATAACTCAAGCACTTTCCATTTCTCTAATTCTCATGTTTAGTGTTAAGTAGATGCTCCAGTCTAAGTGGCAGTGCTACTCCAAATATACGGCAGAGACGTCCTCTTTTTCGAAAGTCGTCGACGTAATGCCTGACTCAGTCGTCAACTCTCAAGTTTCCCAGATTTGTTGGATAGGAATGGAGAAGTGAGGTGGGAGAGACTGGAGGTGGAAGGGGGCTTATTACTGACTAATTCGAGTGGGACCATTTAAATCAAAGTAAAATTCAAATGGGATTCAAGGGTTCAACGAGTTTGAATGGAACCCATCCACTTAACTCTTTGATTCATGTACACCAAGCCCTTCAATACATCCCTTTATCGTTTAACGTCAGGTCCCAGTTCAAAATATATTTGGAAAGGGAAGCCCAACTACTTCTCACACTGGATATTTCCTTGAAGGTTTCAATAAGCATTTCCAGTTCTCTTTTTGAGCATTCATTTTCATTTTTTGGTTTCTTTCTGGTCTATATATTCGTCAGCACCTCCAAGTCAAATAGTCAAATATTAAGGAATTCGAGGAGGTCGAGTTCGAGGAAAGAATTAGCATTACCATCGGTTGTAGGTGTGTCGATAGTATCCATTTGGGCTACGCTTTAGACCATGGGGGTATATTGGTTGAGGAGCAAGCCTGTGCTCATTAAAGGCACAGTTCACGGTAAAAATGGTTTTTGGGACTTCTCTATAGCATCGAGGCTTCCCCTTGTAATATACATGCCGTTATAAGATCGTCAAAGGATTTGGATAGACCCTTCCCCCTGCGTTCATCGCAAATCAGCTTCTTTCATTTAGTTTTTTTTTTATTTTTTTAATTTTTTTAGTCTTTTTTATTTGCTCTCTTTCAACATAATCTTCAGAGTATTTGAGCTCGTTAAGGCCGGAAAAAAATTTTAGCTAATGACAGTCTCGTATAACTTGGATATCTCGTCCGTATCCGCATTTTCCTTTCTACGACTTCTATTTCGATGGCGTGGTTCAATATGGAAATCAATGTCAACAGAATTGTTTATTTGGTTATGTGGTTACTACATAGTGTTTTTCGTCTATAGAAATCTACTAACTATTGATAATCAGAGGTTGGTTGGATGAACGGTAAGTCAGCTAGGCAAAGCAATATACAATCTGTAAAAAAATGAGAAACCTTTCACGCTCATTCTCTTGAACTAGACCCCCTTTCCAAACGATTTAGTTTTGAGCTTTTCCGATATAATCATTGAATATTTCAGGCAATTCGAAAAAGTAGCCATGTACTGTGAATCAAAATTGTCCTACATTCCGCTAACATTCATGCTCGGTTTCTTCGTTACGATTGTGGTCGACCGATGGCGGAATATTTTCGTGAACATGGGGTGGATAGAGAAGTGAATAATCTCCTCATTCATTATAGCAATTTCCGAATGGATGTGGTTCCTCGTTCATTATAATTCAATTTGAAAAGCACAATCAGATTTTACTGAACATAATTGGAAACGTAGTCAAAAAGAAGGAAGCAGCAATCTGAAATAGAGATGGAAAGGTTCCGATGTTTAGAAGTCTCTGAACTCGCTTTCCAGTTGAGAGTTTTCATTCTTCTTTGTAGGGGAACAGCAACTCAGAGCTCAGTTTCCCATTAATAATGGTTCAGAATTAGTTTCTAACAAAGGTTGGAGGCAGATAGCATACC